AGCTAACTCCAAGTTCTGGGTGTGGTTTCCTTTAATTATTATGTTATTATTTGGTAATAATTGAATTTTTATGAAAACTAAAGATCAATTTAATATTTGACAAATCGAAATATATTACAAATTTATAAAGAAAATTTTTAAAATTAACAGTTTATTGACTTTTGTTGATATGATTTTAGTTCGTTGTCGACATATTTAAGTTATTAAGATTTTAATTTGGGCTAATTTTAAATTATTATTCATATTTGATTTCCTTAATTGCGGTGTGTTTCTTTGCTGCCAGATGTCCCTGGTGTCTGCTGCTCCTGTCGTCTTTCGAATGTGGAAATTGCACGAACTGGACTACTACAACTTATTACGCTATACTTATAGTTTTTATCAAATTTTATAAATTGCACTATTTGATACTTGTAACCTGTTCTTAGTATTTAAACTTTCATTATGTTTAAAACTCGTTATGTAATTCAGAACGTATGGATTTTGTTCACTTTTTGACGTTTGATATTCAACGATGTGGAGTGTTTTGACGTCTCTGGCTTGGTAACTATCTCACTACTTGTTGATTTTATCTGATTTTCTTTTGTTCTTTTTATTGTTAGACACAATTTATCATGTTTACTGTTTGAAGTTTTTTGAGAGACTGACTCCTTCGAGCTGTGTTTTTACTTTTATTTAACTAGAAACAAGTGAACTCGTTGCCATGGATACGTCAAATCAAACTTTTGTGAAATATTTATTTTAAAATATTGACTCTTTTCTTGTTTGTATCGATTATTAATCGAAATGTTTTGAGGTCTACCGACTTATTGACAACTTTCAAAGTTTATACACTAATTGGAACTTAAGTCGGGATTTCAATACAGTTCTTGATATTTGGAAGGTCTTTTTCACACTGCCCATGTCATTTTGCAGTTCACCGACACTCTTAACTATACATTTTTTTACAAATTAGTCGATACATGGATCTGACATTCCGAAAATGTTACAAGAAATTTTACAAAAGCTTTAATTTTAATTCCACTTATAAATTTTTACTATAGGTATGCTAAACTTTGGTTTTTGTCTTGATTTATTGCATGTTCTTCATTTACAAGTGAAACACCTTCTTTGCCTGTCTATCAAAATGTTAAAATGTTGAAATTTTTCAAATTTTCTTTCACATGTACGTTAAAATGAAATCTAACTTTACTAAATTGTACTTTACTATAATTTCTACCCTTTTTATGTTGCATGAGTGCATCTTATAAACTATTTAATTCATAAATTAATTTTTTTCCATAATTTTGACAGCTTGATATGTTTCATTGAACGAATTTATATTTCTATGCTACGAAACTAATTCTACACTTAAATTCATACTTCATTTACATTTTTTCTGTATTCCGCATTCCATTTGTGTCAAATTTCTCTATTTTTAAGTGAATATCTCTAAATTTTATTTCAATATTTCAAATTTTGGTCTCATTTCTGTATTCTCATTTTTATTATATTAACAAATCATAATATCATAACACTATGTTTTTTTAATTCGAATAAATAGGCAAGTAATTCATTTTTTAAATTGCAATTTTTGTCTACGCCGCCACTGGGCAATTCCAGAACTGGGTTGTAGGTACTCGCTTATGAGTGTGAGTGTGCGCGCTTGTCAATGTGAGTGCGCGCTTATCAGTGTGAGTGTGTAAGAGAACGAAACTGCAATGAAAAACAGTTTTGTGGAACCAGATTGTATGACTTTGCGACATGTTATTTTTTTTATGTCAATGCAGACGGAGTGCCAAATATTAAAAAAAATGTCCGGTATTTTAAAAAATATATTTTTTTTGCATGATTTATCGAATATTAAATAATTGCTATATGGACATAAAATATACCCAATGAAATAAAAAAGTAAAAAAATGATATATCTGAAATTCATTGTACATTCATTGTAAAGTAACATTTCGACTTCATCTAATCTCATCTAATTCATCAATTTCAAAGAAAGAGTTCTCCTTTTCTTTAATTATTATAGTAATGTAATTGCAATTGGACAAAATCAAATCTTTCAGCGTCGTCGTCCTGTGATGAGACATGTTAAGACATGTCATCACGATACGACACAGATATAAGTCATAAGCGTCAGTCTGGCATTATACAACGGAACAGATTCATACGGTTTTTGCCTTACCTCGTACCACCCGTTCATGCTCGCGTGAGTACCCGGCTTTAAAACCATTATTCTCTGAACAATAAAAATAAACACATCGATTCTGATAGACATGAAAATTTCAGCTTATGATTCGTCAATATTTGCTTTGACGATCCGATCAAATCCAGTGTATTATCGCTATTACTGGCCATCGTTGGCACTATTAACTTAGCAAGTAAAATGCATGGTAGAAGAATGCTCCATTTCTTATCTTACGTTCTGTATAGAGGTCAAAAGTGACGTCATATTACGCAATATGACAAATGTGGACCAAAAAGTGGCACATGGCACATCCACAACCGCTTGATTTAAATATTTATCCAGTTAAGTACACGGAGATCTACTTATATCCGTTGTGTAACCATAAATCGTGCGTTTGATGTTTTGTTTTTTAACAGGAAGGCGTACATTTAAATTTGGTGCAGTAGTTCAGATGATGTATCGAACGAGAATACTGAGACGTTGTTCGACGGAGAGCAATAAAAGATCCACTTTCTCGTTAAGTTTCCCGGCGCCACATTTCATTAAAATATGAATTCTTGACCGTTTTAATTATAGAGTTGCGCGTCTTGATGGGAATTAAAATGGAATGTTATGGGTCGGAACGGATGCCGGCAGCAAAATCATCAGTTGGCGCGTTTCTTAAATTATTACTTATTAATCACATAAAAATAATGAAACGTTCTCTCGCGGAAAACGGTTTTGGAGCTGTATTATACAGGGTGAATTTAAATGAATGGGCTTTGGTCTGTTTAGAGGTCCTCCTTATTTATCAACCTAATAAAACTAGATATACCTTCGGATGGCAGCCTTTCTTTTCGATTTTTTTACTGGGGATTTATGAGCACGTTTTATGGCTAGTATTTTCATTATTTTCCATGTATATTTCATTGTCTTTCTCTCTTATGGTATTGCGTTTTAAGCTTGGCTTATCCCTTAGGATCTGCGTTTCAGGCACAGAAAGTCCTGAGCTCACAACAAATTTTTAACGATGTTTTGAATTGCAAAACGTTTATTTTGGTAAATTATTACAATATACAGGGTGTGGCTTGTATAATCTATAAAAATGAAAATACAGCTTCCTAACGATATTTGTAATAGAAAAGTCTTATACGAAAAAGTTCTATTTTTGCATTTTTTTTCGTAAATTTTTCATAAAGTTCAATTATGGATCAAAATATTTTCTGTGGAACAGTTCTGTCCGTGTGCTGTACGATGAGTTACGTGCTGTAGACCAGCCCCTTAAATAAATTATCGTTGAAAGATAGAAAGATACTTCTCAATTTTTGGGGAATTTTTCAATGCAAAAGTACAAACTAAGAAAAATAGATATTTAAAAAAAAACTGATATTTTCTATTATAATAATTAATAGTAAGGGGCCATCCATAAATTACGTCACACGAATTTTAGGACTTTTGAACCCCTCCCCCCGTCATTGTCACAGGTTGTCACATTTTTATAATCCCCCCCCTCCTGATGTGACGTTACATATTTTTTAAATTTAGGCATGTATTTAAAAATAATCGAGAGAAAACAGCTATATTCATTTTTTACTTTTTTTATTAAATAATCTAATAAAATCAACATAAAGTCCAATATTTCAGATAACCAAAAAAACAAACGACTAGTTAAAAAACAATAAACGACTAATTATGTTAATTATAGATAAAAAACTTAATTACTCTCTCTCTACACTCTTTTATATAGCTATTACTGGTAAATCATTTTCGAGAATGCTAAATTATTAATAAATATAGATCAAGTTCGTAGATTTTTATAGTTTTTTATTCACATTCACATTCTAAATTTCGCGTTTTAGTATTTTAAATTTTAACATGTGACGTCACAAAACTTTTGACCCCCCTGCCCCTTGTCACACATTGTCACATTTCGGTGATACCCCCCCTCCCCATTTACGTGTGATGTAATTTATGGATGACCCCTAATTACTATCTTAACTGCATTGTTGTGAGATATCAGGGTCGACGTTCGATCACGATTCAGGGTAGCTCCTTGAATTCTCGGGAACTGTTACTTGGTTTAGATCCTAACCTTCTCCGAATAATTCAAATTTATGTAAGACAACTCGCTCTCATGTCCTACCTCAAATTTCGTAGCATTTCTTGTGTTTTCGCGGAAATATTGGAAACTAGCGCGAAATTTTGGCGTACCGATTTTGGCGAGTCGTTAGCGGTTACTATACCAACAAGATTCGACTCTCTAGATGTCGTCTGCTGTGGCTTAGACTGTTTGGAGCAGTTTGCGGCTTTGTGGCCAGATTTGGTGGTTGAATTCGAAACATAGATGAATATTTCAATTTTCGCTCAGTATCTTCTGCTTCATAGGTACGGTCGACTAAATGCTTACGATCATTAGCAACTACTTTTTGCGTTTTTCGCGCGTAAGAGCTCTGCAAAAGGCTTCAGACATTAGATTTAAAAGTTGAGTGAAATTCGAAATAACTCGGAAATAACTCGGGCTTTGGAATACGATATCATAAAAAATACTCTCTTTTTCAAAGTATATTTAAAACATAATTACCAATACTTCAAAGCAAACCGTTTAAGATTTATTTTCTTAGTAAGAGAAACATTATTATTTGACCAAAACCATCACGAATGTATTATAACCGCTACCAACCCAACCCACCGCGAATGGATTATATCCTATTAATTCACCGCCCAAATAAAAATTGCCGGTGTTTCCCAAGAAATACGCAGTCGGTTTTCTCCACGCGTAATCGTTCCCAGTTGCCTAATTCCGCCCTTAACGCCTTCTGAATAACTAACGATGATTTCTTTACTGTTGCAGGGGGAGATTCGCCGAAGACCCCCCCAAGGGTTGCTGCGGGCTGCTTTCCTGGAAGCCCGGGTCTCTGAGGTGGTTCATAGCGCTCATAGCCCTGGTGGCTGTGTGCTGCGTGCTCGTCGGGACCGCTTTGGGAGCCATGCGACCTGCCGGAAGGGACCATCTGACTGTGTCGCTGCTTATGATAGGTAAGGAAAAAAAATCGTGATTTTTAAAATTTGTAATAATACGCTACAACTTCTTCCACACAGTGACGATTGTTCATATTCTGCAATATTATTATTTTTTTATATAAAATAATAAAGTAAAGTAAAGTAAAGTATTAACTTTTGAACTCGATTCAAAAATGCGAGATACAGGATGTTAAACTTACAATATACATACAGAGCGAGTCAGTTTTTTATAGTAGGACTTTAACAGTTGATAGAGAATCATTTTTTAATAAGAAAAGTTCCTATAAATGTAGGTCTTAGAACGCTTCGTTTGTGAGATATAGGGTGTTGAAAACAAACTTTTTTTAAGAATTTTTCTTAATATCTCTAAAAGATCAACATATATTGAACTGAAATTTGGTATTAATAGCACATTAGATATGGTGAATAAAACAAAGATATCTGTTATTCATTTCACCCACCAGTGACGTGCCTGAGGTGGGTTACTGCCTCCTTTAAAAAAATAATTCGTACGCCCGTGAATTTTTCTGGAAATAACATTATATCTAAATTTTTTTATCAATTCTGAACAAAACAGATCTCTTTCAATTTTTTATAAAATTGACGGTTTTTGGTTAAATTCATTTCATCAATCATGAAACTGTTCCAACGATATTGGTACCTAATACATTTGTGAATTAATAAAAAAAATATGATGCGCACTGAAAATTAACAAAAACGATTGAATGAATAATAACAGTTGATAAAGAATCATATTTAATAAGAAAAGTTCCTATAAACATAGGTCTTAAAACGTTTTGTTTGTGAGATATAGGGTGTAGAAAACAAACATTTTTAAGAATTTTTCTTAATATCTCTAAAAGACCAACAGATATTAAACTGAAATTTGGCATGAAAGATAAACACAGAACTTAAAAAAAGAACTAATTGACACACAAGTTACACAATGTTTGCGTTCTTATGTCAACATTATGACATTTAATTGTTTTTGTTGATTTTCAGGGTACATCATATTTTTCTTATTACAAATGTATTACCAATATCGTTGGAACAGTTTCATGCCAAATGAATTTAACCAAAAACCGTTCATTTTATAAAAAATTGAAAGAGAGCTGTTTTGTTCAGAATTGATTAAAAAAATTAGAAATGATGTTATTTTCCAGAAAAATCCAAGGGCGCACAAATTATTTTTTTTTAAAAACCCACCGCAGGCACTCCCACCACTGGTGTGTGAAATGGATAACCATAACTAATGCGTTATTAATACCAAATTTCAGTTCAATATATGTTGGTCTTTTAGATATATTAAGAAAAATTCTTAAAAAAAAGTTTGTTTTCAACACCCTATATCTCACAAACGAAGCGTTCTAAGACCTACGTTTATAGGAACTTTTCTTATTGAAAAATGATTCTCTATCAACTGTTAAAATCCTACTACAAAAAACTGACTCACCCTGTATACCTACCTATATTATTTATTACACTTTCGGAATCGACGTTACAACGTCATTTTTTTAAGTAGTACGCCCCTGTACCAGGTAAAAATAGCCTACATTTTTCGATAAAGCTTTTAATGTGTAGTAAAAAACAGCTCTTGAAATGTTTTCGTATCTGTCACAGCTTCGATTTTGTTATTTCACATTAAATTTTCAGAATTTACTACTTCGCTGCATTTATTAATATTTGATTCGGTATTTTCATTTCTATTTTAAAAAAGGAAACAAAAAGAAAACTGTTCAAAGTGCTCGCCATTTTCATTAAAACATTTTTGAATGTACAGGGTTAGTCACTATAATCTGAAAATTTATTGTGAGTTTATTATTGAAGTTATAAAAAAGTTTTTAATACAAAAGTTTTACCTTTCTTTATGAATTTTTGTAATACAGTATTAGAAAAAACAATTGAATAATGGAAATCACTAAATTAAAGATTTTTTTACGTATATTAGTGCATACTTAGTTTCGTTAAATTAATAAATCAAGGAGTGTCAGATCGGGTGAGCGCGGTGTATCAGGCACCGAAAACCAAAACCGTATTTACTTATCGGACTAACATAATCTTGTAAAGTTTAACGGAAGTTGCAATATCAAGGTGGGAAAATACGAAAATTATTTAGTTTTACCATTATAAGTCGTCAAACATGACAATTCCAAGGTTATTCTATGAATTAATCGTTGGAACTGATAACAAAAGTACTTTTTAATATCTATACCAATGAGATTATTTTCATATTCGGATTTTCCATTCTTTAAAAGCCAGCTAGGCTAATTAGAAAAGTGACTGCGATTGTCAGTGATTTTTTTGCTGATCCTTCCATGTTATGCTGAAACCCGAGTCGAAGCATTTTATAAATTCGAACAAGTATTGTTTAAAAGCTTATCGTGAAGCTTCCCTCGCCTAGTCTAACTTTTAATGATAGTAATCTAGACATGTGGGATTATCCGTAACTCACATACAGTTCAAATGCATGAAAAGTTGGATTTGGAAATACAATAAATCCGGAAGCGATACTGAAACTTTTTTGGAAATACGTATTTAGTTGTGGATGAAACTTTTCAAATAGGAACACAACGTTTAAACTATACTGAATTGCACCAAATATACGGGTAGTAACAGAATTTACCAGGAAATAGTCATTTTTCTATAATTTACCCCATGGTGTTAATTAAGTACGTAAAGAAACTTCAAGGGATGATTGAATGATTTTAAGCTAAAAAAGTATATATAGGGTGAGTCTTTAATAATGGTACACAGCTTAATGGCAGATTGTTAACGTCAAAATATAGTGATTGAGCCAAAGATGCCTTAATCAATTGTGCTCCTTTTCGTTTTACAGGGTGTTAAAGTTGAAAAAAATATTTTTGATTTTTTGCTATATTTTATGTATGTATGGACCGATTGTTTTGAAAATTTGTAGCTTTAGGTTTTTTAAGGTGGCAAATACGAATATGCAAACAGTGTTGGGGTCACGTCTAGGGGGCGCTAGTTATATTGTCCTATCAATGTAAAAATATGTCTAACTTTTTGTATTTTACAATTTTGAATTTTTTAACTAGAAATTATTGAACTACGGTAACTGGCATTATCCATGACAATTACAGACCCCGGAGTAATAAGATCCAACATCTGTGTAAAATACTCTGCGAAAACATCTGCGTTCATGTCTTCGTGATAGTAACCTGTATTTTTAGATTCAAATAAAAGTAAACCGCCATCTACAAAACCACTGGCACTACCTATATGTGTCACTATTAATCTTCGCCCTTTACCTGAAGGTGCCTTGAACCCTGTTGAAAGTCCATATCCAAAAATGCTTGTCGAAAACTTTTTACATTTTTATCTTGCCATACTTTTGTTACAGTATATCCCTCGTTGACCCAAGTTTCGTCTAGATAATAAATATTCCTCCCTTCGTCACGGAATTTTCTAATTGATCTTAAATAGGATCTTCGCCAACAAATAATTTCATCTTTATCGATAAGAACTGACTTCCTGTTCTGCTTTTCCCAGCAAAAATTCAACTCTCGTAAGACAGCCATAATTTGCGTCTACTGATTTTTGGCAAATCGTTGTCCTCTGAAAGTTCACTTAAAATTTTGTTTAGCGTTGGTATTTCTTTTTTAAAATAAAATGAGTGTACTTTTCTGCGAATGACATTTTTGAAGAAATCATCTATAACGACTTTTGACCTCCCTGTAGATGATTTTGGGGGATTTACAGTATCTTGTTCATTTTTTGTTTCCTTTAAAAGTCTGTAGATAGTCGATTTTCCAATCCCTGTCATTTTTGATAGCATTAGTGTTACCCGATAATTACCTGAAACGAAATATTACCACGCCCATGGCCGGTTCTAATCTCGGGGTTTTATTACTCTCTTTCAATTCCAAACAGACTGTAATCATAACAAGCCCGAAAAAATCAATGCCTCAAAATGTTGCATTTTTGTTTTGCAATTGCGGTAATTAGTAATATCTGAAAAAATAAACCATACGAACTTCCTAAAATTATGTTAGGTTCAATGAAGTGTTTGGTAACGCAAATGTTAGTTAATCTTTTCTGTTCCAGTGTCATTGAATTTCTGGGGTGAAAATATCTCCCGGTATCTCCGCCATTGGTACATTTATTTATTTCCAAATTAATTAAATAAATTATTAGTTTCGTCATTCTGTATCAAACGTTCTCGGAAATATTTCAGAAAAAACTTATCTCGAAAACTATCGCTTTACCGACCCATGTTTGTCTAACCTTTTTGTTTTAAAATCACTCAAAAAATCACCCCTTAAAGCTTGTCAATTAATTACCGCCCCGTATTTTGAACTAAATCTAAACTTTGTCAAAGTGCAAATAGAAACGCTTGACTGTTTCTATTTTAAGCTCACATCGAAAGCGAGTACTGAACCATAAATTCCGAAAATATAAAAATTTCACGCTTTCTTCTCCGTTGCGTTTATTATAAGAAAAGAGTGAAAGCGCCCGATCTTTTTGATAGATTTTTTACGTTGCAATTAACATACTTATCGATTCATTTCGTAACAACCCATGAATTAAAGATTTATGCTAAAGCGGTTATAAAATATTTGTATTAATATGTGCTTCATGCAGATTTTTCCTAGTTTCTATGTGAAAAAAATTAAACGAGAATTAGTATTCCAACTCTTTGCATGACCATATTCAGCTGTATTTGCAAGTCAAGCGAAGTTGTTAGTCAAGTTTTGGAAATAAAAAAAAGTGGGTCAAAGACGATGAAGAAAGACCTTGTCGGTAATTAAATCCGACTCGAGATACCGAGCGGAGATCGTGTTAAAAATAAATTTTCAACTAAGTTTAGAACTTGTTTTGGTGTATATCTAAAACATTACCTTCTATAACGAATAACAATGAAATTATAGTTAATAGAATTAATAATTTAAATGGTTAAATGATAAAATTAGTTACTATTTACTATTTATTGAAAGAAATCCTGATAACTTTAGTAATAACCTGTAAACGTAGGGCATTTACAATCTTGGAGGGGA